CATATCTTGCTTTATATAAGAAGTCTATGGAAGAGCCTGACGGTAGGTCAGCTAATATGTGTGCATTGATGATGCCTGAGAGAGGAACTGAATGCAGTAAAGCTGTTTGTTTAATGTGCATTACAGGGTTCTGGGGGGATGTTGCTCAAGAGTTTTACTGGAAGAAGCCTCCGTCAGGGCAGATGTTGCGGTATAACTTTGATGTCACCAAAGGGGACGTTTACATCAAGTTCATGGAGGGAGCAAAAACCAACATTTGCTACAACGTCCTTGACCGGAACGTTCATGAGAGGAACCTTGGAGAGAAAGTGGCTTACTATTGGTAATCTAACATGATATGGTGCATAACTATGTACATTTATAACTTGTGGCTGCAAAAGTTTGGAAACTTTCCATGGGAATTATATATGGGAATAAACTCGAAGTTTGCAAATACCGGTGAAGATTAATTCGAATATTGTGCAAAAGTTCAGTAATTCAACTTAAAATGTGAAACTAATATATTATATAGACTCATTACATGCATATGAGATATTTCAAGGATTTATTTTGATATAATTTTGATGGTTATGGCTTACAGATATGAAAACCTTTTCACAATATTAATTTTGACTGGGGTGTTCATAAGCTGTAATCATCAAAATTATAACAAATAAAAGCTTGAAATATAGTCTATATATTAGTTTGACCTTTTAAGTTGAATTACTGAAATAAACGAACTTTTGGACGATATTCTACTTTTTTGAGTTTCACCAGTTTTTCAAGATTTGTTATTTGATATTACTTATTATTTTGAGTTTCTGATGATTAAATCAATCTCCTTCATTGTATTAACTCACTTTTTCCAGTTCTATCAACTTAAAATTTTAAAGCAACCAGGTTACTTAATTTTTTAAGTTAAACCAACAATATTTTTCTACAGTGTATATATAACAGGGAACTTTTATTTATACCTTATATATATATATATATATATTATATATACACACACACACACACACACATATATATATATATATATATATATATATATATATATAAATTTGTATTAGTTTGCATGCATGACCAAACAAAATGTTTACATTTTTAAAGTATAAAATATTACCCCAAATTTTCTCCAACTTGAAACGTTTCCAACATTTCCATGGAAAGTTCCCGGAAATGTACTGGATATTGTCTGCCGCTTTGCAACCCTAGTTATATAATCCAAGCTTTAATAGTTGATGCATTTCAGGCTGACAAAAACAAAAGTATCACAATAAACTGTAGAGACTAACTTAAAATAATTTCAAATAGATAAACAGTGTTTAGAGTTAATGCATTTGTGCAAGGTACAATCTAGACTTGTAATGTTTTATAAGTATTAAGTACGGACAGACACAGTGAGTGTTATTGAGTCATCTGCATATCACAGAACTCTTTGATTAGATTGCATAAAGAGTGATAGGAAGATTCCTGTAAGAATTGCATCATGAGAAGATGACTTCTCTCAGGAACATCCCTAGGACTGTTTCTAGTGTATAATAAACTCGTTGTGGTTAGGTGATACTGCTTCAGTGACAGTCATTGTTGTCTTTGCTGTGAAGTATTAATAGTCTTGTTGAATAAGGGGTGTCAGATGACTGTTATATATATATACAGATCTCACAAACACATGTCCAGCAGCTCAAAGAAGAAATTATATTGTGCATAAATTAAAATTCCACATATTTTTAGGAACATTAACATTGATATCATTGTTTATATGGAAATTAAGCACATGCCCCTCCCCAAATTTGCATTAAAATGTTGGTTTTTGTTTTGTAATTAATATTTTTTCTACATTATGTTAATCAATTTGACAACACTCATATATATAATATAATATAATCTTTAAACACACACACACACAATATATACATTCAATTATAATACATATTTTATTTGATGTTAGATTAACTAATCACGATTTGACAGCACCCATACATGATTTTACATACAGTATATTTTATTATGTAATAATTCAACGTAACACACACATACACAAATATTTTTCTCAAGCTAAATATTTAGTTATTTTATGTTAAGATGCGATTAATCACGATTTGACAGCACTCATACAAACTTTTACATGTTATATATTATAATATTTACACACACATATACAGTATATATATATATATATACACACACACAATATTTTCACATAAATAATTTCACCTATAGAATATTTACATGTGTAAATATATATAAATATATATGCAAAATATAATTATTTTTTTATTTGATGTTAGATGCGACAGCACTGATGCATGATTTTACATATTTTATTATGTAATATTTCAACATAACACATACACATATTTTTTTCTAAATATTTAAATAACTAAATATTTAGTTATTTTATGTTATGATGCGATTAGTCACGATTTGACAGCACTCATACATAATTGTACATATGTTATATATTATAATATTTACACACAAACACACACACAAATATATATACTGTATATATACACACACACACAATATTTTCATATAAATAATTTCACCTATAGAATAGAATATTTACATATGTGTATATATATATATATGTAAGTATGTGTGTGTGTCTATATATATATATATATATATATGGAAGTCTCAATAATGACGGGTGAACGGGTTTGCATGTGTGAGCAGAAGTGTGTTATGAGTCCTGTGGCTGGAGTTGGCCTATAATCTAGAGACGCGCTCTCTCTCTCTCTCTCTCTCTCTCTGTGGCACATTACATGAGGTGGTTTTGGCAGAGAGACTCCTAACAAATGCCAAAGTATGTGGACTATGCTGTGGCGACACTTCAGTTAGACATAAAACATCAAGTGCTAATGGCGGACTCAGGGACACAGGGTTTCACTCCACAGAAAGGCTCTCGGACTCTATATACTTTGACACGTGTCATACACGTGGGGCCCTTTGTTATATATAATACAAAACATGATCTAATGTGCAACCTCAGAGGTCAGCATCCTTCTTTACAGTGCCATCCATTCATGCTTGGTTTAAAAATGTAATCTTTTCAGTGTAGAGTCAAGGACTTTCTTTTTTTGGACAGCCAGGTGCAGTTGCACAGTCATCCAAGGCTGAGAGATTTCTTTACTAATAATGGAGAGACATGAACTCAAACAAGCATCACTTTCACTGCTGTTTATACGTAAGTTTAGCGTCAGGCATGTTTCCATATTGCAATCTGTTGTTGAATTGACTGTTCTGGCTAGTGCTACTCACCGAATGCACAAATGACGAACGTCCACATCTAATGCAGGCATCAGAGCCAAAGTACAGGCCTGTTCCTGTAAAAAGGAGACGCGTACAGTCGGGTCCAAAAGTCTGAGACCACACTGACAATCAAAGTCTAATTTGAGTCTGGGAATAAACAAAAAGTTTTAAAATAAAAAAAAAAGTTTTAGGATTTAAATCATGCATTGAGAACATATTATTACGGCATAAAATTAAGAATTATTGTTCAGTATTCTGCAAATGATGATTTTAATTTGATTAAATTCCATTTTTGGAACAAATAATGCTTTTGTTGAAGAAAAAGGGTGACAAATGAGACAATAATGTACAGTATTTTATTAAATAATACATAATGTGTTATTTTACTCTTATTTAGACCCTTTTATAGTATTAAGTATTTTGAATTAGCTTTTATTTTTAGATATTCGTAGTCAATTTTATACTTATATCAGTTTTTTATATTAGGGTTAGGGATTCGTCTAATATTTATGTTTTATTTTACTTCAGCTTTATTTTAATTAACAAAGGCTATTTTTGATGGTCGTAATAAACTAGAAACACTGCAGGATTCAACTTTTCACTCAAATTGTTCTGCTGATAATATATTCTACATGACGTATTGAATCCAGAATAGTTGTTTTTATTATCAGTTTTTATTTTATTTTCAGATTGAAATTGTAAAATCATTTGAAACGCAGATGGAAAAACTCACTAGGCCGCACTGTTTGCATCATGAATCTGTTATTAGCTCATGGTTTCATTAATATTGATGGTTTCCTGCAGGGAGGGAAACTCCCCTGATCATCACCTGACCGTCACCTACAACCAGCTGTTGAGAAACGTGTGCCGATGTGCCAATGCATTAAAGCTGTTGGGTAAGAGCATCGCTTTCCCCTGGCTTTGATTCTAACTCAGCTTTTCTTGCAATATTAGTGCATTCATTGTGAGTATTTGCATTATAGGAGTAGTTCACAAAAAAACTTTTGCTGATAATTTACTCACCCCTATGTCATCCAAGATGTCCACGTCTTTCTTTCTTCAGTCGAAAAGAAATGAAGGTTTTTGATGAAAACATTCCAGGATTTTTCTCCATATAATGGACTTCAATGGGGTCCAAACGGAGAGTCACAAACGCGCATCACAGAACGAGGCGAGCATTTGTGCTTATAAAACTTAAAATTTGTATTTATTAATTAAATGAGCGATCGTTTCGCTTGATAAGACCCTTATTCATCGTCTGGTGTCGTTTAAAGCTGCACTGAAACTCTCATTTGGACCTTGAACCGTTTGGACCCCATTGAAATCCATTATATGGAGAAAATCCGGGAATGTTTTCATCAAAAACCTTAATTTCTTTTCGACTGAAGAAAGAATGACATGGACATCTTGGATGACATGGGGGTGAGTAAATTATCAGCAAAAGTTTTTTTTAAAAGTGAACTACCCCTTTAATGTTTTTTTCCTGTGGTCCAGGTGTGAAGAAGGGGGACAGAGTCGCCATCTACTTACCCATGATTCCAGAGCTGGTGTACACGATGCTGGCCTGCGCTCGAATCGGGGCCGTTCACTCGATAGTGGTGAGCAGGTTTACACATCTGTAGTAGTTTTACATTGCGATTCCTTATTGTGACGTATATCCGAGTGAAACGGCTTCTGGAGCAAGAACAAAGTGGGCGGGGCTTGATTTTGTCCATGAGGAATTGATTGGATGGTTGTGGTTTGCTATTGGTGGATCTGGTGTGAGTGACAGGTTGCCCCGCCCTTGTTCTCAGAGATGAACTGCAAGAGGGAGGGGAAGATATTTTGATTAAGGATTACGAGACACATGAATTTAAAACAATAACGATGTGCACAGAGGAAATATTTATAATAAATACTGCAATATTTCATAGAAAAACAAGAATCGGACATTTTGATTTCATGGTGACTATTTCATGGAGGAATATTCTGGGTTCTGTCGATTATGGTCTTGAGGAGAGTTTAAACTCGGGTCAGTATTTAGCACGGTATTATTAATATGCATGAAATGAGCGCCTCATTCACCCTGCCAGGAATATTTGTGCCGGCCAAGCCTCTTTAGCCAAGTAAAGGTTACAGCTGGAGTTAAAAATAACACACGATTACTTTTTATCAGATATCAAAGCCTATTTTTTTAATGCTTGGATGATGACCCCATTCCAGCTTGTCTATTTGTTTTGGAACCTCAAATTTATAAAAATGATTATCCACATTTCATAACGGACAAATTGGGCAAAATTGAACTGACTAGAGCTGAATAATGACACTATTGCCTTTTTTAGAGCTGCTTTACAGCAGAATTTGAATTAGTCTCATATTCGATTTTATTTTAAATTATCATAATTTTGTTGGGGCGTTTCAACCCAAATTTGGGTCAAATGTGGAAAAACCCAATCGAAAAAAAAAAATAAGTTGACTATTAAAAAATAAAACCTGAACATTATTTCACAAATTATTTATATTGTATAAAATGTTACTGCCTTTAGTTATTATTTTTGAAAAAAACAACAAAAAAAAACGAATGCGACACTAACTTGATAAAATGTATACATGGTTTTAATAAATGTACAATTACATAGTGTAAAAATACAAAATAGAATTGTATTCGGACTCTCTTTTTTATGTAATGTTTATTTAACCAGGTGTTAAGTGTTTCAGGGACATAAATTTACATTTGATATATTATAAAAAAAATACCAAACTAAAACACCACCACAAACCACTGATATATTTAACCCTCAGGTGCTCTTCGTTTCGGAGTCACACTTGTTATCTTCCCGGTCAAAAGTGACCGGACACCTAAAAATTAAATTTCCTCCATCCCAGTAAAACCAATGCAATTTATTTTTGATCTATAATATTTATTCTTTGTAATTTAGTATTTTGAGACAATTTGATTGAACTTATTAATATTTATGCAATATTTATGGCCATGGAAAAATATATATATATTTTTTCTATATATTATTTTTTTAATGCAGTATTTTAGTTTAATATAGAGTCTAGGCCTTCAGAAAAAAAATATTTTTTGAAGAAAATTAGCACCATCTGGTTTCAGTATAGTGAAAATGTTTATAAACACATTTTTTCTTTTTTTAGTGGATTTGAATATAAAGTTGAAACAATCTCAAAAACGATTTTTTTATTAAAAAATTTAAAAATAAATAAATAAAAATTTGTGAATTTTTGTGTTTTTGTCAATTCCCACTCATTTCCTATGGGGGTCATTTTTGACCAAAGACCACAAGTGTGACTATTTTTTTAAGACCACTTAGCATGCTCAGATCATGACCTCAATTTTTGTGTGTGTTCACATACATAATGCCAAAAAAGTCACCAAGTTTCGTAACATTCTGATGAAGCTGTGATTTTTAAAAATTCAAAACATACTTTTTGTAATCAAAATTTATTGGAGATACATACAGCTAAAAATGTAACCCAACGGCTGGGTTTGTCCATATTTTTGACCCAAATTTGTGTTGAAACGTGTGTGTTAAAGCATCTTTAAAACAAGCTGGATTGTATAATGCGCTATATAAATACAGGTGACTTGACGTTTATCTTGAGAAACGAAGTTGAAAGCAGATGCAGACGAGTCTAACTCTCTCCTGTCTTCCTCACTCAGTTTGCCGGTTTCTCGTCCGAGTCTCTGTGTGAGAGGATCATGGACGCTCAGTGCAACATCCTGGTAACAGCAGGTAAATGTGACACACACACGGCTGTCCAGATCTGTCTTAAAGGACGTGTGTTTGGGCTGACTGTGTGTTTATTGGGTTTGTTCAGCAAATGAGCGTTGACAGATAACCGATAACCGGAAATCCTGTGTAGTCATCGAAGCAAAGTCTGATTCACATTTCATACTTATTCAGGTCAATTAGAAAGGAAAAAAATTGACCAACCAAAGATAGTTTTTATGTGATGTTTCGGTGCATTATAGCTTACCAATTTTTATATCCACAAAGCATCATCTTCCAATCTGACGTGTTTGCTCTCTCTGTGTGTCCTACAGATGGTGTTTACAGAGGTGACAAGCTGATCAATCTGAAGAAGATTGCATCTGAAGCTCTCCAGCGCTGTAAGGAGAGGTACGTCCCGTTTACATGACCATCTCACCCGTCCATTAGAGCACGAGGCAATCGCCCAATCAGAAACTGTCAGGGGTTGCCGGGCAACAGCACAGTTTGGAAGCATGCGAGATGAGACAAGCAGAATTGTGTAACACGTGACTAGATGATGTCATTGATTTGGAACAATAAATGACATAAAGCAATGATAAGAATGTCCATGCAATGTGATCGCGTAATGCCATGGCAACCATTCACAGCAGCCTAAAAAATGTTTTACCTTTATCTTCTAACGATCTCTTTCTCTCTTTCAGCATGGCCTGGTGTGTTCAGAAGTGTGTGGTGGTCAGACATCATGCCTTCATAACAAACAGTGATGCTTCCAACAAACTACAGGTTAGTCAAAAGGTCGAGCTGCAGGAAATATAACAATGCATTTTTGTTGGATGAAAAAGCATAAGCTTGACTTTTTTTTTCATTTTATAGAAGAAAATACAGTGTATCAGGGGCCTCAGGGGAGCTCTAAAAAACTGGAGGAGAAAATAATTACACAAAAATAAAACAATGCAAATATTACAATTTCTAATCTAAAGTAACACTGTCCAACAGTGACACCCGCAGGTAAAGTTATAGCAGGACGTCTCGTCGCCTCTCTTGCCTCCTCTGAGCCCTTTGAGTTTTAACAGACCCCCTGTTAAAGAATGAATGGAGGAAAGTTACGTGAGAAGAGGCGATACTTCCATCGCACTATGATTGGATATGACCGGTTATGATTGGTTCATGCAATGGAGTTAATGGAAATATTAATTAAAATTGACTAAACAGCTCAGCCTCTGAGATATCACCGCTTTACGTCACGTTTTAGTGAGCAAGCTTGGGGAAGTTAAAGGTACGTCTTCGGTCTTCGTGTTTACAGACTGCTGAAAATAAATTGACTATTAAAAAGAAAACCTGAACATTATTTCACAAATTATATATATTGTTTAAATTGTTACTGCCTTTAGTTTTTTGAAAAAACTGTGCGACACTAACTTGATAAAATTTATACTTGGTTTTAATAAATATACAATTAGTGTAAAAATACTAAATAGAATTGTATTCGGACTCTTTTTTTTAAGGTAATGTTTATTTAACCAGGTGTTAATTGTATCAGGGACATACATTTACATTTGATATATTATAAAAAAAGTGAGCACTTTGCCTCCTAATTTTAAAATCCCACCGCAACCCACTGATATATATATATATATATATATATATATATATATATATATAATGCATATTTACAGTATATTTATGAACAGTTCAGATGCAAAAGCCTCTAATTTTTATCAAGCTTGTATATTTAAGTTCAGTAATTTCACTTAAATGACAATTAATAGGTAGCCTAATCTTCATTGCAATTTAAGTGAAATTACTGACCTGAAATATACAAGCTTGATAAAAATGATCATTCTAGAAGAAAATTTCAAATGGCACTTTTGCATCTGAATATATATATATGATGCAGGATGCATATTTACAGTATATTAGGGATGGGCAATGATTAATCGCGATTAATCACATCCAAAATAAAAGTTTGTGTTTACATAATATATGTGTGTGTGGTGTGCATAATTAATTTGTATATATAAATACCCACACATGCATGTATATATTTAAGAAAAATGTGTAATTAATATATAACAAATTTATATTTATATATATTAATTATGTATAAATATATATATAAAGTAAATACATGCAAATATTTCTTAAATAAATACATTCATGTGTGTGTGTTTATATATACAAATTAATTATACACACTACACACACATATATTATGTAAACACAAACTTTTATTTTGGATGCGATTAATCGTTGCCCATCCCTTATCCTGCATCATTTTTCCCTTTCATCACATGGAAAACTTCCTTTCATTAATTTCTTTTGTGTTTGTATGTACTTCAGAGCCCGTGGGATGAGTCATGTGACATTTGGTGGGATGATCTGATGGACGGAGTGGCGGACGAGTGTGACCCAGAGTGGATGGACTCGGAAGATCCTCTCTTCATACTTTACACCAGCGGCTCGACCGGAAAACCCAAGGCGAGTCATTCCCCCTCACCTATGGAAATATTAATATACGGTCCATACATTCACTACAGCTCAAAAGTTCGGGGTCACTAAGATTTTAGATATAGACGTTTATAATGTTACAAAAGATTTCTATTTGAATTAAATGCTCTTCTTTTGAACTTTCTATTCATCAAATCCTGAACAATATGCACTAGTTTCCACAAAAATATGAAGCAGCACAACTGTTTTCAACATTGATAATAATCAGAAATGTTTCTTTAGCATCAAATTATCATATTATAATGATTTCTGAAGGATCATGTGACATTGAAGACATGTTAGATAATTGATGTAATATTTCACAATATTACTGTTTCTTACTGAGCCCAAACTTTTGAAAACGAAATTCGTAATAAATGCAAATTAATAAATGCAATTTGCATTACGATCATCTATGTTGTACAGTACAGAATAGCATAATAGCACACTACTGTATACTGTGGACAGTTCTCATTGGGTGGAAAATGTATCCCATAATGCAATGCACCCAACCATATCGATCGCAATCTCCTTCTTGACTTCTTATTTGTTCAGACTGCTAAAAGTCAGGATTTTATTAGCAAACTGCAAAATCCAGTATGTTAATGCTATTTCACTGATTAGCACAATACTGTGAATATATTCAGCAGCATGTACTGCTTCACAAACTTTTTAAAATCTGGGAGGCATCATACAGTATATACACTACACAGTGTGCACTAAGTAGTGTGTTTGTATTCCATCACAACAGTGTGTATTGATTGGTTTGGTTGCTGTACAGGGGGTCGTCCACACCGTCACTGGCTACATGCTCTACACGTCACTGACCTTCAAGTATGTGTTCGATTATCACCATGATGACGTTTACTGGTGCACTGCAGACATTGGCTGGATAACAGGCCACTCCTACATCACGTACGGCCCGTTAGCCAATGGCGCGACCAGTGTGCTCGTAAGTTCAGACGCCGCTGAAATATAAAGCAGAACATTTACTTGCATAAACGTGTCAAATCCAAACTGTTTCAGCTATTTTCTTTGGCATAGCAATTGCTGTCATTTAAAAATATTAAATTGTAAATTGTAATAATTTAGCACAAACAGTTTGACCGAAAGTGTGTGTGTGTGTGTGTAGTTTGAAGGTGTGCCGGTTTACCCTCATGTGGGCCGACTGTGGGAGATCATTGAGAAGTACGGAGTCTCCAAGTTCTACACTGCGCCCACTGCCATCAGACTACTGATGAAATACGGGACAGAACCACTGCAGCGGTGAGCACACACACACACACACACACACACACACACACTGGCCAGCAGCTGCTGCAAGCTCATAACTGTCCTCCAGGTGGCGCTGGAGGCCTCAGAAAGACAAATCCTTCATTGAGTCACATTGAAATCTCTGGTCGTTTTGTTTGGTTTATTTGACATAATCTAAGTTATGTGGCAAGTAATTTTGTTTAAAACTATTTGACATGAAATAAGTATTTTTTATAACAACTGTAGCTGGTCTTATGGTATATGATGATGATGATTCATAAGTGCATGTTATTTGAAACAAATATTTGATTATGTCTTTATACTATTTCTAACATTAAATATACATTAAAAGTATATGTGAGTGTATATATATATACACTTCCATATACTTCACATATATATATATATATATATATATATGTACACACACACACACACACACACACACACACACACACATATATATATATATATAAATTTCTTTGCTTTGCTGTGGTATATGTATTTATAGTAGTGGCCAAAAGTTTTTAATGACCCAACAAGTTTTTAATCCATCAAAATATGAGGAAAATGTTTAATATTTTTTAAATATTTTAAATATGAAGGAAGAACAAAACATTTGAGTAAGGTGTTTATCCAACAAAACCAATTGGCTAAAGTAATAATAATAATTATATATAAATCTATATATACTGTATATATATGAAGAGTTCAGATGCAAAAGCCTCTTAATGCCATTTGAAATTTTCTTCTTTAAAGATGATTTTTATCAAACTTGTATATTTAAGTTCAGTGATTTCACTTAAATGGCAATGATACTTACCTATTAATTGTTATTTAAGTGAAATTACTGAACTTAAATATATAAGTTTGATAAAAATCATCATTAAAGATGAAAATTTCAAATGGCACTTAGAGGCTTTTGCATCTGAACTCTTCATATATATATATATATATATATAATTATAGTAATAGTAATAATAATTATATATATATATATATATATATATATATATATATATATATATAATTATAGTAATAGTAATAATATAATTATTATTATTATTATGATTACTTTATATATTTTTTTGTAAAATAATACAATAAAACCTGTAGCTGTAGTTTGGCTTTTTAGCCAATTGGTTTTGTCGGATAAACACCTTACTCAAATGTTTTGTTCTTCCTTCATATTTAAAATATTTAACAAATATTAAACATTTTCCTCATATTTTCCCTCATATATATATATATATATATATAATTTACTTTATAATAATAGTTATTAGCTAACACTTTACAATAAGTTTTCATTTACTAACATTAGCTAACTACATTGGTTAACATTAACTAAATATAAACAAGACTTCTGCAGCATTTATTCATCTTTAATGTTAATTTATTAAAATCAAGTGTATTTGTTAACATCAGTTAATGCTTTTGAACTAACACAAGCAACTGTGTTTTTATGAACTAACATCAACAATGTAAAATATATTGTTCACTGTTAGTTCATGTTCATTAACTAATGTTAAGACCTTACTGTAAAGTGTCACCTAATATTATTATTATTATAATTATAAAATAGGTCAATAATAAAATATTATTTATTTAATTGTTTTTTCCAATTATATTTGTATTGTGCAGATATAGTTTTTCCATACATTGGCTGTCTCTCTCTCAGGTATGACCTGTCCAGTCTGCGTGTGCTGGGTACGGTTGGTGAACCCATAAACCCGGAGGCTTGGCTTTGGTATTATGATGTCGTGGGTCAGCAACGCTGTCCGGTTATCGACACCTTCTGGCAAACGGAGACGGTAAAACATTTACAACACTCAAAAACAGCCAGGACACATGGGGGCTGTTTACACCCGGCCACTTCATCAATTTCTGTGATCGGATAAGCCTCAGCTATCCGATTGTGAAAAGACCAGGGGTCTCATTTATAAAACCGTGCGTAGGATCTTTACTGAAAGTGTACGTGCGGCCGAAAGCCAAAATGTTGTGCGCAAAAAAAAT